TATGTATCTTTAATCAAAGAATAAATCTGGGTGATCAAAAAATTTCGGGTTTTAAGTAAAATAATTTCGTCTTCTATAAAAAACTATTTCAACTTTTTTTCTCGAAATTGCAATTTCGGGCCCCCAAAATAATTTTGCGTGCAAGTATAATCTAGATGATTTATCTGGTAGTTTACCTAGATAAGTTACTTGTTATATATATATAATTTGCTTAAATTTATTAATTATATCTAACTTATAAATATAAAATAATAAAAATAAATAAAGATAATAAGAGATAATATGATAATAAAATTAAATTCCACAATATATTACATATTAACTATAACTTTAATATCAAATAAATATTCTTTAACTTTCAAATTATAGGTTTTTACAAATTTTATAATCTCTAACTTTATATTTATTAAATTATTATTCTTTAAACATTATAATCTTAAAATTATACTCCATAGTGAAATATTTATATCAATAATATCAATTAGTAAAATAATTATGTCAAATTACATCCACAAATTATTTTACTTAGTAATACCTATAAAAAATTATAATATATTGAATTACATTAGTATTATGTTGAATAAGTATACTTATAACTACTTATTGCAAAAATACTTTTTTAATATTTAATATTAACAGAATTTTAATTTTCCAAAATTTTGTATTTATAAAATTGTATTGAAAATAGTATAAGTGTAACCTTATTAAAAAGAAATTTATTTTTTTTACAATTTAATTTTACTAATAAAATTTTAAAATTTAATTTATAGTCTAAAAATTTGAATTTTATTTAATGTTTGTATTGAAGTTTTGATACTCTAAAATATATTGAAAAGATAATTATGGATACCATCTTTAGACATGAGTTAAAATACTTGTACACATGTGTACTTTGTTTTACATTCCTGTACATCACTCATCTGGTCAACCTTACTTCAATTTGAATTCAAACAATTGTATTCATCAAAAAAAATTAAAAAAATTACTAAATAGGAAATTTTATAGTGTACAAATAAAAAATGTCTCATCATATTTTGATATAACATGATCAGAGTGTTGGGATTATTCAAATTGAATGGTTAATAAGCATTTAAAAGTATATGATTTTTATATGATTATTAAAATTCTATTCGAATTCAAAATTCTGTCATTTGATATAAAATTTTTAAGCAAAAATTAATTTTCAAACTTTTGTTAACTTTTGTTGGTCAATTATATGTATATTAAATTAATAATTTGCCAGAAATATATTTAAATTAAAAGAATGAGAATTTTTTTTTATTATAGGACAATGGTGTCAGCACGAAAAACAAACCTACCAAACTCATATTACAGTACTGGAAAAAGGAATACGAGAGGCAGCTGAAATACAACTGGAAATACGGCACAAAAAAACGCAGGTTGTCCAAAAAAAAATTGCCGGCGAAGCTTCGCGATCCCTTGGTCAGTATGTAAGAAGGAATCCAACACTTCTTCTTGAAAATTGGTGGTAAAATGTTGTTAAAAGAGTTAAATGTTGTTAAAAGAGGTTATAACCCTATTCTACAACATTTGGTCAAGTTATGGCTTTAATAATATGCTAACACGATTACATAGGTTAAAAGTGTAGAATGGGCCAAAGAACATATTAACGATGACTGAGAGCACAGTTTTTTCAGATGAAACGTCTGTTTGGCTGTTTAGTAATACTGTGCAATATTGGTTTAAAGGAAAACGGCCAGTTCGCCGTATTCCAAAAGACCGAACAAGAATTAATGCTTGGGGAGGGTTTTGTACCGTGGGAAAACCAATCTTTTTTGCTTCCGGGAAATTATGACTGCAGATTAATTATTGAAAAATCGGGGGGATCATATTCCCTATTAAATTTTTTTAATAAAATCCATTGTTTCTTGATATTCAATTGTAAATTTTTCATGCGATGTGGCGCATTCGTTATGCCGCTATTGTTAAAAATGTTTGTCCAAAGACTTTTGCACCAGACTGTATTTTTTTTTTTGCTACCTTATTTATCTACTAGTATCTGTTAATTTTATTATACAACACGAAGAATATCAAATTCTTTCGTAGCGAAAATCTCAATAAACAGAAAATACGGGATCAACAAAAGAAAGAATTGTGCGAAGGTCAAAAAATTTGGTGATCCGGTTAAGATCGACAATATTATATTATATATAATTGAGGTAAATTAATATATATTTTATTATGACTTGGAATCTGACGCGCATGTATAAGGTAAGTATAAATTGTTACAATATAACCATAGTTGAAATTTTAGTATCTATTAGGTATAATATTTTGAGGTATTTTTTTGTAAAAAGCTCGGTAAATTTTTCAAAAAATAAAGGATACTTATACGCTGAAAAAAAATCAATTTTTTAAAATAACATATTTTTAGTATAGAATCTAAGCATGACAGATTCAAACTATATTAAACAACTTAACATGAGTCACCAATTAACGTTAAAAAAATTTTAAAAAAAAGCTACAGAATTTTAATTGAAAACTTTGTTTATTTTTTAGAAGGAGCGTAGTGTTTCAATTCCATTTTATGGCACATCAGTCCAAAATGTCCACTATTTTGCACGAATAAAATCAATCATCCAGTTTAAAAAGAGCATTTGCAAATGAAAGTCGTGATGGTCGTTGTTCAGCTCTTGGATTATTAAAGGATGCTGTAACATCACGTACCAATAGCTATCTTTGAAATAGAACCACAAAAAACTCCTCTACCCAAAAGCTTAGGTGAACCACTGAACATTTATAAGCCTAATACGAATTAGTTTTAGGTGAAAGATGGTTAGATCGTTTAATAGATAGAATCAAAATATATATATACCCAGAACCAGCAAATTTTAAGAAGTATTATGAAATGTGTATAATATATGGTATAATAAAGAGAAACGTATTATTCTTCTGAGTCTGATAATCATTAAAAAATTTTTGGCTAAAATATTTACAATTACTGTATATTTTTTTATTTTTTCATTCAAGATGCCAGCAAAAAAAATCGAGAAAGATGATTCAGCGCCTTTCAAGAAAAGAATAACCCCATCCCGCTTAGCTAAAGAGGATATTGTGACCATACTTTTTGCCGAGCAACTTAAGGCTGGGATAAAAAAAGTCAATAACCATTATCATATAGATTCCACGACCATTAAAAAATATGTGCATCCTCATCCTTATGAACATACAAACTCAATAGGGGAACCGAATGGTACTAGAAATGATAATCTGGACCACATCTCAAGAAAATAGACTTACCTGAAAAAAAAAACAAAAAATTTTCATCCAAAAATTCTGATCCCAAAATAGCCAAGCAAGATATCGTTGCAAAACGAAAGAAAAAACAAGCTGAGATTGAGAGAATTGCGAAACAGATTTTTTAAATCAGAAATTAGTAAATTAGTTCAAGATGATGATGAGAGTAGAATTATACGAATAAAGGTATGATCTAATTTAATCTATTATATAAATTCCAAGAAATAAACTTAATTCTATCTAAATTTGAACCTGAGAAATAATAAACATATATGCAAGCATGATTAATAAACGAAAAACAATGGGTAAATTCAAAATAACCCAACTCAGTACTTAAAATTGCTTAATCAGAGCAAATACGAACATAGATATGATCCGGGAAATGGATTTGTTATAGTTGAAGAACAAAATTTAAAGGAAGCGTGGTTAGGGTGTTGAATTACGAAAATATTTGCCTCCGCAGAAGTAAATCATCCAACATTATAGTATAACCATAATCGATAATCAAATTGCGACCAAGATCTAATTTTTTTTAATGTAATTCATGTTCGATACTGGTTGTACGGGTAAGGAAACTCCGGATTCTCAACTATGAATTAGCCAGGAATATTTCCAAAATTAGACATCTATTAAAGAATCACTTTTTTTAATGGAAAACTATATATTTTTTGTTTCATGAATAAATAATAGAAGGTATGATAATCCACAAAAATTCTATGATTTTTAATAAAAATTATTCGTTCAATAATGCCTACCAGTTAAATCACATAATTTGGGTCACATGGAAACACTACCACCATTCATATAGTTATGTGGGATATTATCAATTTTTAATGCATACAAAATTTACTCCAAAAAGAGTTAAATATTTTTGTATATTAGGAAAAGAATACACATTGATTTTGAAATGAATCCACGTTTAGAAACACCTCCGATTTTAATCAATGCGTTATTTATAATCGACATAGAATTATGAATTTGTACATTGAGTCCATTAATTACAAAAATTTGTTTAAATAAAGAGAAATTTAGACAAACTCCCAACAATTCAAAATGAGTTTATTATTTGAGATATTAAAAATATCATTAGTTGCCTTAGTAACTTATATCTCATATTTCTATTACAAATATTTTACACGTGTGAATCCACTTCCTGGTCCTTTTCCACTTCCATTTATTGGTAGTACTCATCTCGTTTTCAAAAATTTCGCTCTTGACGTGAGAAAAATTCGAAAATATGGTGATTTATGTGAATTCTATGCGGGACCCCTACGCTATATTTTATTGACTAATAATGAAATGATTCAACCAATTGTGAAACCTGTCCTTGACGGTCCATTTCACTGTAGAATGAACGATGATGTTGATGGTCTTATAGAAATTGGTGTATTGAACACCGGCTTATTTTTTAATGATAATTATACTAATTGGTTGTACCATCGTAAATTCTTTACCAGAGCTGTAATGACACCTTCATTTATTAAACAATCTGTAACAACCATACAAGAAAATTTTAAAGAAATGGAAAATTTTTTGGAAAAATTCGATGAAGATGCAGTACTTGAATTTAATCATTGGATGAAACGATATTTCTTTGAAACTATTTATATTATTACCACCAGTAAACCTTCTTATGCAATAGCAAATTATTATAATAAAATAGCCCCAAATGAAATATCAAAATCAAAGGTACCTGAAACCGTGCTTAAAGAAAATGAAGCGTTTGTAAAATCTGCTGAAATATATGTTAATAGCTTGGCTTATTTCTCTATGGCTCCAAGAATTGTTCGAAATTTCCCTGGAATTAAGGGACGTACTCAATACTTAAAGGATGGAGTTGATAGATTTAGGAATACTATATATGATATTGTTAGATCAAGACGAGAAGAAATTTCGAAGACACCGATTGATCAAGAATTAAACCCTGACCTGTTGACAATGTTTTTAACGGTAAACACTGAAAGAGATGTTACCGAAAGGATTGCTGATGATATTCATGATAAACCAATGTCTGATAAAGATATAGTATATAATTTTATGGAACTTATAAGTGCCGGTATTGATACGGTATTAATTAATTATTATTTAAAAAAAAATATTGTTGTTAACCTTGATGTGTTAATAATGATAGAACTTATATTGTATTCTCTTATTTTTTTATGCAGAGTTCAAATTCCATGTGCTTCTTAGTTGATTTTTTGGAAAACAGCCCAAAAGTAAAACAACGAATGTTAGAAGAAATGGAAAGGGTTCTTGGAAAAGATATAAATACTCCATTGACATTAGAAAATCTATCAAAACTTGAATATACCGATGCTGTCATCAGAGAATGTAATTTCCATATCTAATTCATTATTATTTTTATTATTATTATATTGTTACAGTATAATATCTCATTTAATTTTTTAATACTAAAATTTTTTATAATTGCAGCGGCAAGATTGCGTGCTATTATTCCAACAATTTTCAAGAAAAATTCTACACCAGAAGTCATAGGAGGTTATAAATGGCCCAAGGATACTCTCTTTTGTTTAAATTATGATGGAATTCATACACACAAATCATATTGGAAAGATCCCGAAGTATTTAATCC